AGTGACTGTGTGAGACGGATTTTAAAAAACATTAAAACAGACTTGTGGTCCCTAGCATGGGTCAAAAACCACCTACAGTTCACATATTGCAGTTTTGTAGTGTCTTTGCTTTGACCCTCTGAAATCTCCTGGGAGCCCGGCCATGACCCTGAACACATCATCAGTATTTTTGGACCACTTTAGACCACAACCATTTCTAGGGTACATCCATTTCCAGCTGCAACTGTCACTGAAGACATGTACACGCCTTACTATTTTTACAAATGGGACTAGGCATTCAGTCTAAAACCACCCCTTGAAGGCTGACATGATACCAGTGTGTCTGATTGTCTTAATATGTGGTCAGTCTGGCCTGCATTTAAACCAGAGGAATATGTTGCAGTGCTGCAGCTGCAGTGTTTTTTTGCCTACCTGACTGTTTGGCCTTATTAGAGGATAGGCAACCAACAAATTCATATTCTTCTCTCAACAATCCCACACTCCAAAGGTCAAGAACAATCAAATTATCCCTCTGTGCTGTTGCGTTTGACTGCTTTACATGAGTCACCAAGGCAACCAGTAAATGAAGTCACTGGATGGTTACTTCAATTCACAGCAGCCGTCTGCCAGTCTGGCATCCAGCCTCTTTTTAAAGCCATGTTCTTGCACAGTGGGCATCTTGATGAAACTGCTTAGATCCAACTCGCACAAGACATTGTAACAAGGGAGCGCATGTTTGCCACTGCATTGTCAGACCAAACCAAGTCATACAGGATGGGATTCAGTGTTATTGTCAGCGATGAGGAAGGTCTGCCCAGCTTCTTGCATCATGCATCTTTGCAGCATTGCATCAGAAAACAGCACACTACCTGAGTTAGAGGCCACTAGCGCAACAATAAATCCCCCTGTCACTCATACTGATTATTCTCCAGCCCACTCCCTACCTTCCTAGTCAGCACTTTGGTGACTACGTGTCCTGCTGGCAGCACCAGAGCTCTGAGATTAACCATGCTGATCATGTTGAGCTAGGTTAAAGTATTACAATATGACAGGTGAGTAATGCTCAAGGGAAGTAAACAAAGGAAGGCAAAAAAGTAACTGCAATGTGTAATGCCAAACACAATGATGACTGTGAACTCTGAACTCACTGACTTAAGGAAAAGTTTCAGTCAGATAAAAGTCTCCTCCTCACTGAGCTGTTTTCCTGCTCATTATTTAGCAACAATGTGACTCAGTAATACTGTAAATGCTATGATTGCACTTTTGAAAAGGTTAACAGTTCATTTGAATTGATTTCTTCCCTCACCGAAATGGCTTTTCTCCCTGTCAGAAACTGCACCTGAATCATGGCTTAATAGTTATACATTTACACGCAAAATCCTATTCTAACAATCATTTCTTTGATGATAAAAGAGCATTTAGATTGTGTAAGTAAGTAAGTAAAATGTCTAAAATGCTCCATTACAAGTCCTGCATTCAAAATGTTACTTCAGTAAAATTGTCTTAAGTATAATTAGGAAGCTGTACAAGATGTATCAAGTGTAAGTAAATGCAGCATAATGGCTCCTTTGTAGTATTGCAGCTGGGTTATTTATTATGCTTGCTTGCTAGTAATAGTTCAAGGGTGTGAAACTCAATCACACAGGGGGCCAAAACTCAAAGCACACTTTAGGTCGCGGGCTGAACAGGATAAATATTTATTGAACAGACTAAATAAATGTTTTTTGAACATAAATATTAATTTAAACAAACTGCAAAAGTAGTTATTCCAAAAAGATTATCTTAAACTTAAAATAACTTAAAATATTTTGCTTTCCATAAAAATATCTTGTCAAAATTATACAAATTCAAAATATGAACATGGTGCAAAAAAAACTGAAAATATAAATAAAATGTGTGCTTTTAAGTAAAAGTTAAAATGATAACAAATCAAAGCACACGACAGGGAAGGTAACAATACCATTTTCTTTGCGCTTATGCCATTTTGTCAGGGCTGGATGCTCGGCATCTTTTCTTGGCAACAAGTTCGTTTATGTTTGGGTTGAGGTTCTGTGTTGTGGAGATTCTCAGTGAGACGACTCCTGTGTGATGTTTTGTTAATTTTCATCACAGAGAACAGCTTCTCATACAGATATGTGCTACCAAACATACACAAGGTTCGAGCCGCATGTAGACGGAGCTGGGACTAGCTTTGACTTGAAATTAGGGTTGTATACATCAACAGAAGCTTGATTGATCTGACGTAATTGACGCGGGAATGAGCGCAGATAGCCTGTCGTTCGGTAAGGCAGCTGTTGCTTTGCATTATGGGATTTGTAGTTTGTGTGTTATCGGCGCGTCATATCGCCTTGCCATTAAAAAAGATATATAAAATGATCTCGCGGGCCGGATATAATTATACGCCGGGCCGGATGTGGCCCGCGGGCCTTGAGTTTGACACATATGCCACAGAGCAACTGATCTCTTGAACAAAAAAGTGAATTTTCTTATGTTTGACATATAATTAATAATTTTTCGATGCCAAGCACAGTATGTGCATAAATTGGTGTTAAATCTGAAAAAAGTTTACATGTAAAGCTTAGATATAATAAATAAAGCAATTTTAAACCATTTATCAATAAATCAATTTAACAAAATGTTCTCCTTATTCTGCAGCAGCTGCTGCTGCAGTTCCCAAATCTTCATTTTAATATGGGATCCATGTTCTTTCATCAGTCTCTACCGAACGCCCTTGACCACACTGACGACCATTATTTACAATTCCAAAGAAGGGTCGCAAAGAAATTAGGGCCATCAGCTCTCTTGGGTCACGAGCACCTGTATCGCGGCCAGGTAAGCCTTCTGCTTATTCTCTCATTAATATATGTGTTATGATGTGTGATAGAGGGACGCCGGTGCATCAGTGGCGCGGTGCTCATACTGACCCACAGGCATGTAAATGGGAGCAACGACAGGCATCACATAACGCTTTGTTGTGCACTTCAATTTTTGTTTGATATCTCATTCTGCACTGAAAGATTAAATTCGGACTCATATGAACAGAACCTGTTACAGTGCCCATACATTGCTTTACCCAGAATGACGCCGATGTGTGCATCTCAAATTATGTTAAAGAATTAATTATATGACTATGGCAAATTAGATTTCCTCAAGCAATTCAGCCGAAGCTGTGTCGCTTAGCAACACCGTTACCATTTAATGGCTGTGCTGCTGGCAGATGATAAACATTTATCATATCATTCAAATAAAGATTTATCGAACGTCTGCGTGCTTTCTGACGCCGTTTCGCCAAACCAAACGCTTGGAGCAGTGCTCTGAGTGACTTTAGAGACGCCTCTCCAAACAGCCAGTCACAGATCCGTGCTCAGGTCAAAAGGCAGTGTAGCGAAAGTGACACCCAGTAACTCTGGAAAGGGTGACATATCGAAGAGCTGCACCAGGCTACCTACCGTATAACTGACGTGTTCACATAAGCAGTCCCTTCTCGGTGAGTGGTCACCTCAGAAAAACCCCTGCAGATTATTTTCCCTCTACACAACTTCGACTGAATATCGCAGCTGCAACTTTTTCACGGGAGCGACTCTTTTTGGCAAAGATATGCGCGTCAAACGGCTTTAAGAGAGCTCAGCAGAACCTGTTATGGTGAAAAAGATTAAAATAGGAACCGTTGCAGATTGGATTATACTTAATGCGCTATTTCACATCGTGTATCGCGTCATATTCTGGGCGCTGTGCCCTTGTTTATGAGGTGCGTCCGAATTACAATTAGCCTACATTTATTTGAAGCTGCTATTCTGCACTGTTGTGTAGATCTAGCCAGTGGGCCACATTAATTTGACCATTAGCACGGAATCATGCAGGGTTTTGTGACATCCTTTTGCGCTCCATGCCACCTCTCCAAATTAAGCATAATATGTCGCCGCCAAATAACACAAAGACTCAATTGTGCAGGAACACTGCATCTCCAGTCATTTTGGGTGCTTCTTATTATGTGGACCCGAAGCAGGAAGACACATACAGCAGAAACTGAAATGGTTTCATGTGTGTGGCCTCTCTCTGCTGTCGATACATTTTAGCTTCCAGGCTGAGCGCGGATGTGGATATCGAACTAATTTTGACACAGAAATCGTCCATAAGACACGCTTAATGCTCTAAACTCAATCAGACTGTGCGCGCGCACGTGGGCCACGCTACAGTAGACCAGCATGCGTCCACACTGTCTTTATCTACGCGTTTAAAGTTTTAATACATTTACTTTCCTGCACTGATGAATGACATTACCGGGACCCGTGCGCTATGAGCTTCGAGTCCGGAGCGCAGTGATCGAGGGGAGGGAATCCCTCCAGTGTCTGACGCTTCCTTTACCAAGGAAACCCACACGCGCTCTCTGACGCAACTGCCCATTTTAGGAAACGTGCGTCAATGGACCAAAGCAAGTACAACTAGTGAACTCCACAGCATGCACTGACGTCCGTAACAAGAAATAAATCTCTCGAGACATATTTTTGGTAGTTTTACTGCATCCGCGCTTTTCGATTACATGGGCCCTGGCCGCTGTGAGAAGGATGGGTAAAGCGGATCTTTCTTCTTCGCTGCCTTATCCAGGATCGACCCCTCCCTGGATGAAATCGCAACGCCCAGGCGTGACGTAAGCTGTTTGTTGGTGTTGATAAGACGTTGCAGTTCTTCATAGTGCCATTGAAGTGAGTCATCTCTAGGAAGTGTGGTGAAAAGAAAAAAGTCAGAACTGTTCCATGAACAGCAGAGGGCTCAGATAGAGTGTGTAGTAGGCAAGACGACGGAAAATACTCAGAAGACTAGACAGACAATAGGCTTTAAAGCGAATGTTAACCCGCGTGAGTCACTCTCTAACTACAGATACACTTGTCTCAACTGGACTTTGCTGAAGGTGCGCTGCTACTTAGGGTTGAAGTTTGCGCACCTGCGCGGATCTTTATTATTATAGTACAGTTCTACCTGTGGCTCAAGAAAAATAATAGCACAACAAGAATTAGGTATTAAAAATAACGCTAACACAAAAGTAAATAATTAATCTAACTTGCAATATCTGTAAGATGTTTTAGTTTAGTTTAGAGGAGCATAAGTGCACTTTGTCTTTGCCAACTCTTCTCTGGATATCCCAAATTAACAACGTGTCGAGTCAGAGGAATTTTCTGTTGATGCCTTTTATCTGCGAGGATTAAACAACATTTCAGAGAACAAACTGTCTATTGAAATCTTCCTCTTTCCTGGATCATGTACCAGGACTACTCCGGGAACTACGACACCTCGTCCCGCGGCAGCAGCACCTCTCCGGCCCAGCCAGAGTCTTTTACAAGCGGCAGCAGCACGATCGGAAGTCCGATCCCTACCTCAAGCTACCAGGTAACACAAGGAAATCTATTAAAAAAAAATATCGCAACATATACGTTTTGAATTTGATTTCAAATGCACAGCTTCTGAAAAGCACAAGTAGTCTATTTTTTGTGTCATGGGGCCGCGCTCCAGCTATTAATTGGCTTTAAACAGGAATTCCAGGTCGCTGGTGGGAAATCGATGATGCACGGCTCGATATATGCAAAAGTGTTGTGGACTCAAACCATTTGAATTGTTATAAGATGACACGTGTTGGATGATTTACTTTGATCAAATACTAAATTTAGCAGCAAATGGCGAAGACGCGCTCTTTTTGCACACATTAATTAATAAAACCACTGATTATTGTATCTGACCCTGTAATAAAACTAAACTTCATAACATACGGGCAACATTGAAAGATGGAGGAGAAAATTGCCAGATGTCCACTGTCTCTGTTAGGCTAAGTATTATCGTCTTTACTTTTCATGCGTCTTTTCACCTGTAGCAGACGCGCATGCATTTCACGGAAGATAAATCTGCAGAGCACATACTGTACATACCATACCCTGAGCTGTTTACACTGCACTAGTTTGGCAATAAACGGGGCAGAGACGAAGCATAATCGTGGAGAATGCAACAGGCATGATCCAGGCATTAACACTATGGGTAGCAGATGTCTTGACGAAGAGCTGGAGCATTGCACAGTCTCCAAGGGCATGTTAGTACAGAGTAGGTTTAACTTCCCTTAAATTAAATATTTTGGCGGATATATCGTCAAAAATAACAAGTTTATGGACCAGACGGGTCTAATTCGGGCTGCATATGGCACATTTCCTACAGTGGGAAGCACACACGGAGCGGCAGCGCAGAGCTATCAAAAGCCCGTATTTCCTTAGCTAAGAAAACGCCAGTAATCGCGTTCCTGCGCTGGAAACGTTCTGTAGTTCATCTCCTCGATGTAATCAAAGGTTATGCTTTCATACAGTATGAGTGATATATAGCCTATCCTGTACTGCTGGTGTACCGGTGTAACGTTATGAGGTCGCCGAGCTCCTATATTCTCAATTAATAGGGCATAAATCCTGGAAGAGGGATGTTGTTTACCCGCACCCAAGCCTCACGTATAGTGCATTTCAGTGGAAAAGCCTCATCAGGCTCATACACATTACGCTGATCGACTTTTGGCCTGTATCTATCATTGCTCTGGTTCCCTGTAATCACATACTGACGGTCTGTTTCCCATTACAGCGGGCTGGGACACGACTTCTTTGTTAGGTTTATTGAGACATATCAAAACAAAGGTTTTGTTATTAGAGCGATAGAATTTTCATCAAACAAGACGTTTTTGCAGGCTCCTCTATATTTAGTGCAATAACTCAACTAAATGTTCAGGTCCTTCACACTATATTGCATAAAAATTATTTATTCAACACTTGGATTTAAAGGAAATTTTAATGCTCTTATTCTGAAGCCAAGCTCCAAAAATTCCACTTACATAATTCTGGCGAACCATTTGTGCTTGGTACAGCTGGCTGCTTCCGCCTTACTGGAACTGACTGCGTTTCACATGTGCTTAACAAATCCCGTACACAATGACTCACTAGATAAACAAAGTTCCAATAGACTGCCGGGATATCCGACGGAAAGTCGGGAATAACTGGGATATATGCGTAAATTACGCATTCAGGCAGGCAGTGCGTCTGTTTGTGGACTCTGGAGACATGAATTAATACTGATCTGACATTTTCTGCCCTCTCATTTCAGTTCTCATACCGGTGGTCATTATGCAAGTCACATTCATTCATACATGTAGACTGTACATTTATATTTGGGGTTATATGAGGTTTTGCTGAGAAGTGTTTTTGTATTTGAGGGGTTAGTACCAATGGTGGAGAGGCTAGTCTCTGGTCCATCTTCATCACAGCAGGCCTCATGATGCCTTCACATTGACAGCAAACCATAGCACAAATATCTTTTGAAGTAAAGATGGAGTCCAGTAATTAGATTATTATCTATGCCTTTTATCATGTTTTGTATTTCAAAACAGTTCCTGGTGCAATCATTCATCTTCTAGACAAATGAAGGTTTATTCCATTAGACAATCCTTTACATTTTAAATCTACCCTATCAAAATGTATAATTAGTTTGCATGTATAACTGCATATGATGCTTATTAACCCTTCATCCAATAGAACACTCAAGCAGTGCAGTGTTTGTCTGATGGTTATTGTAGTAAAATGATATGCACTTGACACCTTGGGCTTCCCCACAGCATGTGTCACTGTTCCACTCCAGAGGTTACATACACAGTTTTCTGCCTATGTGGACTGAATCATTACTATATGCCTGAAATGGTGGAAATGTGTGAATTTATTAACAGTGGGTGGTGTTTTTGTGTCTGTGCAATTGTGCTGACAGTAGTGTGAAGACAGAAACTAAGCTGCTTGTAGGTTTAAGCTGCATGCATTGACCCCAATTTTCTTTCATCTTTCCCTTGTTCCTTCTTTTTCCAGAAGTACAGGGTCGATATGCCCGGCTCCAGCAGTGCCTTCATCCCCACCATCAATGCAATCACAACCAGCCAAGACCTACAGTGGATGGTGCAGCCTACTGTCATCACCTCCATGTCCAACCCTTACTCCCGTTCCCACCCGTATGGGCATCACCTGAGCAACGGGCCGGGACTTCTGGGGCACAACACGCTCTCTCGACCTGGGGTCATCCGCTCTATTGGGGACGCCAGGGGCCGACGCAAGAGGGATGAGCAGGTGAGGGACTGGAGACGACACCACTAGGGGATCAGTTTGATAGAACTGGATGGGAATGTGTTGCTTCAGAAGGTCATAACAGTGCTGTTGAAGGGAGTTTGGACCAAAACCTGAGCAAAATGCCTTATTATTATAATTGGGAATCATGTTGGGAACATATTTATTAGTGAGGTAAACATGCCAATAAATTCTTTGTATCATTCTGCTCAAAGCCAGCCAGTAGTATCATCTAACTCTTGTTTAGACTCATGATCTTCACTTTGTATTGATTGTGTGTCTGTCAAACAGCTTATTTCACCTGCTGTGTTCTTTCTTTGATTGCCCTTAGCTCACCCCAGAGGAAGAGGAAAAAAGGAGGGTGAGGCGTGAGAGGAATAAGTTAGCCGCAGCCAAATGCCGCAACCGCAGGCGAGAGCTCACAGAGATGCTACAGGGGGTGAGTAGAGACCTGACAACTGGAATCACCAGGTCAGATCTGAATCTGCTATTGGCTTTAGCTTGAATCACCTTAAACAATATCAAATCACTGTAAGATGCTGGAGCGTCTTGTTCCTGTTCTGCAGGAACACCCGTGTTTCCTGTTCTTTGACAAAATTTGTCATAGTGTAGATACAGAGAAGGTCTAAAGAGCAATGACAAATGATTTGCATACAGAGAATACACAGTCTACTAGAGAAGAAAACATCAGTCATACTTGTTCAGCAGTTTGGCAGGAGTCCAGATTTTTGAACTCCACACCTAAATTTACTATCTCGCATTACTGGTTTGACTCTGGCTGGATCTCTGAGCACAAGGTCTGAGTGAAAAGATGACAAGCAATGAAAAGCCTTTTGTTTCAGGGAACTGTAGACAGAGGTAGGGCTGTCACGCGGCCCTGCCTGGCAGACAGTAACGGCATCTAAATGGACTAATTAGCTGAATTACAGTGAAGTTGAGCTTGTCAGGCCTAAAACCCCCAGGAATGGAATTTGCTGTAGGCAGCTGTCTCCATGAATGCAGGACATTTTGTAAAAGGGGCAAATTGCTTGTCTCACAATCCCACATAGAGACATGCTGCTTGCACCAACACACACAGACGAACACACCACAGCCAATGCTTCAAGGGAAAAAAAGCAAACGCCCTTCCTTCTTCACACGCCTGGTTTTTAAAATTCCAAATAAGGAAGTGTGGCTTTCCAGTGAAACGAAGGAGCAATATTTCTAATGCCACCTCTCTGATTTATGGTCTCTCACTGGGCCCCTCCTCTCTTGGTTTCTTACATACAACTTCCTCATACCTTTGACCATGAGTTAAAGTTCTCAGACAGCACATCACCTTATCATTATCCACCCCATGTCTATGACCGACACACAGCTTTTATGAAATCTGTCTTAGTCTTTTATATGGCATATTAATAACAGATTGCTGATCTCTTAACAATGCGACACAAATAATGCACAGTCATTATGCTGAACTCAAATTTAAGATGAGGGTTTTGAGTTTACATATTTTAAGTTAAATGGCTAATGACAGATTCTGGATTTAATGTGTTGGTTGTGCTACCTTCTGTGTTTAAGAAACCACAGCAAACAAACAGTGCCCTCTTTTGGCACTCTGGAGGAGCATACATTCTGACTGATTCATTGTTAAAAATACCTAAATTCTGGCGCCATCACGCTGTAAAGCTATGCATCATAAGCACTGATTGAAGACCATTATTACAGCTATGCTCTCAATGGCTTAACATGTTGTCACTGAATATCCATGAAATTGGTGTTGCAGAATTTGTATTTATTGACTTATAAAACTACTCACACTCAAGCTCAAATGCTCATTTCTTCCTGTCAACAGGAGACTGAGAAGCTGGAGGAGGCGAAAGCAGACCTCCAGAAGGAGATTGAGAGCCTGCAGAAGGAAAAAGACAAGCTGGAGTTCATGCTGGTTGCCCACAATCCCATGTGCAAGTTGCCCATTGATGAGCGCCACCAGCCATCAGGGCAGCAGCAGTGCGCTCCTCTCCCACTGACCATGCGCCCCAACATGGGCACCCGGTCTCAGACGAACCAAGTAGTTGTGAAGCAAGAGCCGGAGGATGACGAGGAGGACATGGGCAAGCCTCAGCGCTCTGTCATCAAGCCCATCTGCCTGGGTGGTGGCAGTGTCAGCGGTGGGATATACTGCACAGATGGAGACAGCCTGAACACGCCAGTGGTGGCCGCATCCACCCCAGCTGCCACGCCCAATGCCCCAAACCTTATATTCACCTACCCCAACATGCTGGAGCCTGAGAGCCCCTCCCCCCACCTGCCACGCCCAATGCCCCAAACCTTATATTCACCTACCCAAACATGCTGGAGCCTGAGAGCCCCTCACCCTCCTCAGAGTCCTGCTCCAAGGCCCACCGGCGCAGCAGCAGCGGCGGCGACCAGTCCTCAGACTCCCTCAACTCCCCAACCCTCCTGGCCCTCTGAGCGGGGGTTTGGCTCAGCACGGCTGAGAAACAAACACTGTGGCTGAAGGCAAGCCTGAGGATCAACTGCGTGTTCCCACCTCCACCCTCTAGTGTCTTTTAAAGACCCAAGAGCACATTCAAGTCCAGACCAAGCTGACCATGTGAGCCGTTTCCCCTCCACAGGGAAACCCACAAGGGCTATGCCATGTGTTTCCTCTTGTTCTGCTTCAGTGTGAAATTTTTTATTTGTAAAAGTGTGTGCACCAATCCTAAAACCAAGTGTCATCCCTTCACCATTTCAACTCCAGAGTGTCAACTTGTTTACGGAGCAGACTATTCTGAAGAAAGACATGCCTAAATGTGGCAATTGTGAGTTGATGTGACTAAACTAGAGGGTGCATTCTTAATTTTTTTTGAAAATGTTTAAAAAGCCATGTGGCTGACATTGCACTCTGCCAAGACGAATCAATAAATCACTAAACGAGGTCAGCCTTCTACTGGAATTTTTCAGGAGAGACAGAGACCATGAGCAAAGACTTCCTCTCGACCTTTTTTCCATTTAGATTTGTCCTTTCATAACTTGGACCTTGATTCAGGAACCTCTACTCAAGTGTGTGCAAATTTCTGATGTTATTTCCATCTCTTTAATTGTATTTATGGCCTGTGCTGATTAAATTTTACAAAGTGTTTTGAGACATTGTCCTCTCCTTAATCTGCCTGTAGAAAAGCAAACAGGTCACCCACGGGGTGGCTGACGCACTTCTCAGTGTTGCAAAGGATATGAGCCAACTTTCAATCAATAACTAGTTCCTCAGTACTCTATACCTTCTATTTTGCCATAGCGGTTTGACTTTACAGTAGTGTCGGTGTGCTTTTCCTCAGTGATTCTGTACCTGAATTTTACAACCTGTTTATGACTCTGTGTATGTGATTTACATTGATGTCAGGGATATCACTCATGTAGTAGAACCCCATGGTGAAGAGCATTGCAGGACTGCAGGCTGTTGAATGGTCTAGTCAGAGTGTTGCAGAGGTGGTAGTATAGAAGAAAACACCTCGTCACTTCATTGTGTCTCATGCAGAAAGGGTTGTCTTTTCACTCAGACATCAAAGTTTGAACAAAACCCTCCTCCACTGGATTCTGTACTTCTTTGTTTATCACATTCTCTAAATAAAGGTCTTACCTTTTTTCAACACTGCCTCTTAGGGCAGGTCAGGTTTCAAAAAGCCAAAAAGGTTTGTATGACACATGTAATCCTGTGATTTGTACGTCTTTGTCAAAATGGAGGGATTTTGCTCAAATTGGATAAAGCCACTGTGGTCTAGACTATCACCAGCTGCCAATGTTGTCAACAGTGTCTGTAAATCTGTCACGTTTAGTAAAGAAATTATGTTTAAATTCAACTCAGATGTGCTGATTTATGGGTATATGAACATATGCCAACATGGAGGTACTCGGTAAAAACTTAGTGGAAGCCTACATGGCCCAGACAGTTCATGTTTAATGAGGGGACAAGAAGACTCTCTACAGCTGGCCTGAGCCAACACAGGGGACACTTTGAGAACATGTAATATGTTTGATGAAGCACTTCTTTTTAATTATTTTTATGTGTATGTTAAAGGGATGAGGGATTTCAATACTGTGCAATGGGTAGGACACAACAGTGATATCTGGGATTATTTTGTTTACTTCAGACATTCCTAATGAATATACTGTCAGGGGGTTAAAGGGGTGTCATCTTTGCTCAAAATCTTTAATCCTGTATGACAACACAAAGAGGTGAAAGAGAACCAAAAACATGTGGGCAAGTCTAAAATGTCTCTCTGTTGAGATATTGTGAAGCCCCTCGGCACACATAGGAAAGCCATTGACTCTAGATCTTCTACTGTACATGTCAACTGTTTTCAACTACTATTACTTCTTTTCCAAATGCTTTAACTGTTTAAAATTATTCAAAATGGATAAAAACAGCAATATGTATAGCAGTGTTTGTTAATTTAAATGAATAATAAAAACATTTTAAAAATCATTTTCCATTTAGAATTGTTCTTTTTTTGTTCATGGGAATGCACTTATGGTAAGTCAGCTTTTTTTTTCCAGCAGACTGTAATTCAATTGAGTATTGCAAAATAAAATTATAAAATGGCCAGCATGCCATAAAAATAAATAAAAATACAGTTACATGAAAGTACAAAACCTGAAGAAAGTAGAAAATGTTTCAAAAAATGTCTTATTAGTATTAGTTCAAAATTAATTCAGTAGCCCATTAGGCTTTATACTTATTTTCAGTGTTTAGAATCATAGTCACATTATGTTGGTATTTTGTCCAGTTAATTCAGTATTTTTTCATTTCAAATACCCTAAAGGTAATTAAAGTCAAAATATTTTCAGATTTCATTGACAAATATATGTATTTTATATAGACTTCTCTAGACCTACAGTATGCCCCTCATTGAAAACCTGAACTACTTTAAGTCTGTCAGTACACTTTGGCATGCTACACTTTTATCAGTAGAGGACAGTATTGTCCTACATACTGAATCAGCTGCCTACAACTGGAACATTCTTGTCTTTTATCTAGAGCCATCTATGTTCTAGTACAGTTACAGCAAAGACAAGAACTTACTGTACTGTCACCGTGAACGCCTTGCCCTCCTTCCCTAATAAATGGGCTTGGGAAGAATATTAGAAAGTGGACACCAGAAGTGTATTGTATCTGCGTTGCTACTGAAGGTAATACTGTGATGAGGGTATTTGAAATCATGAGTGTTTACTGCCTTCAAGTGGTCACTGTTGGGAATTACAACTGTAGTTTTAAATGGGAAAGACAGGCTACTCATATTAGCAGTAATGTTAGTTTTTCTGAACTGCTAAAACACATTTCTTGAAACCACCACGCATTTTCTCAAAACCTTAAACACAAATCCAAATAAACTAAATTCACAAAACCTCTGACTCTTCTGGCAAAATCAAACAATGGCTTCAAAACCATTACACCAGCACTCAAAATCAAACAATGCTTTCAGATGATATACACGAGTCAGTCATATATGCACACTGCAGCTCATTCATTAGACACTACATAAAAAAATGGAGAACACAGGATCCAGAGCATGTAGTTGTGTGGATGCTGTATATAGCTATATTTAGCTTTATTCTGATGCTATAAATCATCCATACTATGCTCTCCTGTTCTTTATTGTGTGGATGTGAAGCAACCACACTCTTGTTATCCTCTTCTTTATTATTATTGTATAGATGCAGTAATGCTGCATCCACAATATGTTATCCTAATCTTTATTATTATTGTGTGGATGCTTCAGCAGCCACACTATTGTTATTC